AAAGAAGGGTGGTGTATTTTTAATTCTAATAGTTGACGTTTGTGATCAGGTTGAAGTGAGAGCCAGAGATACCAAATGGTCACAGTGACTATAAAATTGAATTTGAAACAGGATAAAGTTTCAATTTTGCTATTAATTGCATCAAATTTGGAAACTAAACTCTAACAAACAATGATATATATAACTGAGATAATTACATTTTATTTTAAATGGTAATCACAATTAAATCTTTATGCTAGAGCCCTGATAGATACCTTCACAAAACTAGCTCACATACTTCAGAGGACATGATTTTTCTGTTAATTCCTCACTCTAATTAATAGAAACAGAAACAAAATTACAGTTGCTCCTCCTCTATAGAAATTTACCATGTAATAAATTATACTTCCTGAACAATAAGGTTTTGTTTAGGAGTATTACATTTAAAAAATAAAAATGAGAAAAATTATGATGAAGAAGAGTAGTATCCCAGGGCACCCAACAATATGAAAAAAACACAATTCAGTTAAATAGGATGATAAATGATTATTCAGTTTCATCCCATTATTCCACAAACTGCTGTAAAAAGAAGATAATATCTCTCTTGCTGACAATCATCTGAAAGTAATAAACAACTCAATAAGTCCCTGCTGTGCACTTTCAAAAGGAAAAATACTGGGAAAAGTATTATGCTCTTGCATTATTAAAATAACTTACTATGGCAGGAGAAGTTCCTGTTAGGGAGCTCTACTTTCTCATGGATCCCAGGACTCACGCTGAGCATTCCCCCATCCATAGTAGGGCTGGTGAAACCATTCACTTGACTCGTGTCCCTGGAGATGCTGTTAATGCGGGTTGGGATAGGTTCAAACGAAGGATCCAGCTCCAAGATCAGCCTGTTCAGCTGCTCAATTGACTGATCAATATCCAGTGTAGGGGATGATGTCAAGCATTCTGCATTCAAGCCCAGCTCCAGACCATTTGTATCTTTCTCCACTACTAATCTTGATTTAAAAGTCTCATTTACAGGGTGCTCTGTCACTCCACTGGGACCTGGCACAGTCCCTAATCCCCTCTGCACAGCATCTCTGCTGCTGGACCCCCGGGCCGGGGTGTCTGGGACTCTGTGTGGGCTTTGCACACCGCCTGAGCCCTCTACAGAGCTAGGAATACCAAGCCTCATTTCACTCTCTGGGGTATAGTTGTACTGGTGAGCAGTGACCATTTGCTGTTGGCGCACCCAGGTCTGAGTTGAGTAGCTGCTTCGGCCATAAACCTGAGGCTGGCCAGTGACAGGAGGATTCCTTTGCAGCTGCTGGGATTGCTTTGGTTCACTGCTTCCAAACGATCTCTCATACAGGGGGTCCACACCTATTCCCAAATCAGGGGCCAGGGTAGTGGGGTGGTCCTCCCCTGTATTGCTCCCAAACCCATCTGACAACAGTGAATTCTGGCTGCTCTTGTGGCAGTTGAAGTTTCCCAGGTGGGCAGAGTGCTGCCCCTCAGAGGAGGACAGAGTCCCAATGCTGTCTACACTGTGAAGATCATGGTTGGGCATCTCATCATCGAGAATGTCCGTCTCCCGATCCTTGAGCTTGGAGACTCCGTTTACATGGATCTGAGCTGGCACTATGTGATGAGTCCCACTGTACTTGCTTTGGGCATCAGTCATATCCTTGAGGGGACTGACCACGCTTCCCAGGCCAAAGCCACTAAGGAGTTGGTCCAGCTCTGCTTTCTCTTGTGGGCTCAAAACCCGTTTAGTTCCTGATGCAAGACGCTCCTCAGTCTTGTCTGTCCGGATGGAAGCTGTTGAGTGTCCTGAATCACTGCTGACAGACAGTGTATGATCACTGTGATCAGGACTGCTGATCGTTGGGATGCCCTGGGCTCCAGTTGGGACACTGGTATCTGAGGAGCTCTTTTTTCTCACTTTAGCATAAAGACTGCCATCAATGGGACCCTGAGTATGTAACACTGCAAAAGGAGAAATGAACAGACAGGGAGAGAAAAAAGGCACAGCATTAGACAGAAGGTCTGAATGTCACTGCATTACACTGCTGAAGTACATCTGACAGCACACACATTCATCTCCTTTGTAAACCCAATACATATTTTTTTAATCTGAACATTTCAATTTGTAGCACCAGGTCTTGATAAAAAAAAAACCATTATGTGGTAGGAGAAAGGGGAAAAAACATCAATCTGCATGACCTCATGGCAACATACAATTCTCTTCCTCTACTTCTTTCTAGGGGTGAGATTGTGGATGGTCTGTTTCAAGGCCACTGTCCATGCTAGCTAAAAGTATCAAACTGTTCAAGTGCCTGAAATGTGAAAGATGACTACTATATATTTCACTGAGACTGAACAAGAGCTACTGGAAGTTTAAGTGACACTTTTAGCATAATATTTCCACTTCATATGTTATCATGCATCTCCTTTGGTCAACTCCTAGCATGGGCAACTTGTAGCACCCCCTGCGACCAGTCCCACCGACCTGGGGGGGGAGCTGCAATGGCCAATCACTGCAGCTGCTTCTGGGAGCGGCTGCAGCAATCGGCCGGCGCTTGCAGTGGGGGCGCCGGCACTCCTGCCTGCCCTCCCCGCCCACTGCCTAAGCGGTGAGTGTGGCCAGTCAGGGGGTGCACCAGTGCTCTCAGGGGGTGCACATGCACCCCCTA